TTTCCCTTTGCTGGCAACAGCTGTACTTCTTATGCCCTGCTGGCCTCTCATAGTTGGTGGTTTTTTTTGACAGTTAGCAAAAGTCAGATGGACAAAATTCATTTCTGCTGTCGGCAAGTGCAAGAGACTTCACTGAGAGTCACACTGAAGTTGAAACCAGTCTCTGAAGTGTAACTAAGAACTGTAAAATAAAGCTAATTAATACAAGAAATATGAAAAAACCATGCCCATTTCTATGCTGTAGCATTACTGATTAATTTTATCAGTCTCATCCCAAATGTTTCAAGTGGGATACAAGCTAGGACATGGAACATCCTCCTAAGGAGTGCAGAAGTTGCACTGCTGGGGACACTGAAATCCCAGATGAGGAAAGCACAGGATGAAGTGTTGAAAAGAATGAGTCTGCAATGCATCTGCTGCTGGGTAAGATGATCTAACAGAGTTTCCTACCTCAGACATCCAAATAATGCCGTCAAACACTGGGAAAAAATTAGCTGCATGACTCTAAGTCATCTGTGTGAAACAGTTAACATCTCACTGAGATAAATGAAGTGACTCACATCTTGCTGTTATTTTTTCACGGGTTCTGCAGCCGGAGTCTACAGAAAACTGCATGAGTGCTGCCTCACATTTAATAAGATGTATCCTCACCTTTAATAGATAGATTCACAGTCCTGATAGCACAAGCTTTTTTGCGAGGCTCATTCTGAAGCTGATGACCAGGGCTGGAAGAGCTGCTGTCCTGGCCCACTCAGGGCCACTGGGAGCCATCTCCTCCCTACTCCAGACACAAGCCAGATTTCTGCTCCACAGCTGGACTAAACCTGGCTGGGATAAGGAGTAAAGAGCAGGATTGACGAAGGGTCAGGAATAGAACCGATGCCAAATCTATGGAAAATGGGTGTGGCAGAAAACTCTTCCTTTATCTCATCCTCTGTGGTTTGGATGAAGATAATTTTAATGATCTAGGAGCTCTGATCTTTTACAAGACGGTATCTCTGCTTCACAATAATGGAGCATATGCTAAATGAAGTAAGAACTGGCTGAGTGACAGATTTGATAAGCAATTGTCAACAGAAAACCATCACGGAGTGGGAATGCATTTAGAGAGATTCCAAAGGGATTAGTATAAGGCTCAGTGCTGTACAGTGTTTGCCTAGTTGACACGAAAAATAAATAGAAAACCATCACTGAGAAAATATGTCATTCCTGTGATGACATAAGTAGATAGTGCAGTTGTACAGAGCAACATAGGTTACTTGCTAAGTTAGAGCAACTCAAGCAAAGTAGGTTATAAATCAGGAAAATGTAAAATGTAGGAAGAAGGAATACAAATTGTACCCGCAGGACAGTAGACTACATATTGAAAGGTCATAGGCAAAAACACCTCAAGAGGAGATTACAGGGTAAAAGTTATGGCAAAATTAGCTAATACAATAGGTGGAAATTAAAGCAGAGGACCAGTAAGCAGCTGCTCAATAGGCATTGGTGAGGAAGATGTCAGAACACAGCACCCAAAGCTGGTGACTCTGTCATCAAATAGAAGGATTGTTTAAAAAAATGTAAATGGAGACAAAAGAAGGCAGAAAATTAATGAAATCCTGAAGAAAATACTTTCCAACTAAAGACTTAATCTCTTCTGCTTATTAGGAAGAACACTGAGATTAACTGGAAGGATTTTTAAAAATAAAAATATCAGAGCACAGTACTGAGAGAAATTACCAGAAGGGTCTCTGTTTTGTGGTACCTTCAACAAAAGAATGGATAACTCTCTGGAAGATATGTGGCAGTCGAATGCAAAGACTAGTTGTGGGACTCAGCACCAGGGTAACTGGTCATGGCCCATGCCGCACAGGAACCCAGACCAGAGGATTCCCCACCTTCTCCTTGCCTTAAACTGAGTGAGTTCAGAAAGCCCAAAGCAGAAAAGAAGTGACTCGTGGAGAGGCGCCTGTGGTAGTCACATGCTTTACATGAACAGCTATCAGGGATCTGTGTCTGCGCACATCACCTCACAGCGCCCTGCAGCAGGGTGAGAGCCACTCCTGAGCCCAGAGAGGGTTTCCCAAAGCAGCCAGCAGGCAGATGGCCATGGTAGGCAGCGCAGGTTCACTCCACCTGTCCTGGCTCAAGGCTGATGCACCCCTCCCAGAACACCCCACTCCTTTCAAGTGCTGCCTCAGGCTTTGAAGCTTCACAGATAGAGACACAAAGTCAGATATGCTGCAGTCTAATTAATTTCAGGTTGACGTTTTATTTATGGCTACGCAGTGTGGTTTCGCTTTCATCGGCTTCGCAGAATTGACGCTTCTAACTTGGCAGCTATTGACTTCACTCTGTTCTTCACAGGCATAGCCTGATTCTTTCGACTCTAGTTGTAAGGATGGTGTTACCCAGGAACCCAAGGAAACAAAGCAGATTGCAGGGAGTCATTCCTTAAGGTGGATCTTATCAGTTAAAGCAGTCAAATACTGGGCACAGAAACATATCTATGTCACATCCTAGGTATTCATCTATGAGGATAATTATCTAGATTGCATTGGTGTAACACACCACCCAGGCACAGAGAAAGAATTGAATTCTCTCTTCCTTTTTCCTTAAAAATTATCTCCATTAAGAAAGTAATATGCTTTCATCTGACTTTCTTATGCCAAAGGAAGAGAGCGCCAACAGAGAATGCAGATGGGAAGTTAAGATGAAGAGAAGAACTATGTACCAAGTTTGGCATATGGTGGAAATAGAGGTCATTTTTAGTACAGAGTGTTAATTAAAGAGCTAACAGCTTTAGAATGTATGAAATAGTACAAACCAAGACCACATGACAGTAGGAGCCTAATTAAGGTAGGCTGTATCTAGACTGTGTGCTATGGAGCACATCTTACACTCCTGGTCTCCTGAGGACCCTGCTCAGAGACCTGCCCATGAAGCACAAGGACCCCTTTTTGGTGTGAGTTCCTGCACTTCCTTGTCAGGGAGACCATGGTGGAAAGGTGTAGAAAATGGTGTACACCTCAAACCGTTCAACCCAAACTCTTTGAAGTGTTTACATGGGAAAGACTAATTCATTACATACGGACACAAGCCTGCTCCAAATGAGAACATTTACTTTTCCATACCAGGGGTTACAGGGGTGTAAGCAACACAACCTAACCCAATCCAACCCCAATCCTCTCGTGCAGATGCAGCCCATCCCTCACTGTGGTCGCGTTCCACAAATGAGGGATGAGGACATTTGGCTCATCTGCTTCCGCTGCTTCCTCTGCCATGCTACTGTAGATTCTGTATGCATTTCATCCATGCATTTGTAGATTCTGCCAAACCATGGACTGCCACCTCTGAAGCTAAATCTGCGTAAGATATACAGATATAAATAGAATGTATAGACATTAAACAGGGCTGAGGAAAAAGCTCAAGTTCTGACTTGTGATTGTATTTAACTGTGACCACTCCTTAACTATGACCATTCATACTCCTGGATGTGGTTTTGACTTCTGCCAACTAGCACTCTCCCAGGCCATGCCTGGTCATGGGTCAAAGGACCATATGGACCACATCTGTCCCTTGTTGGCAGTTTGTATGATTCTAGTCTTTTCTGGGAGGAAAAGTTTAGCTATACGAATGTGACCCACGATCTGCCAGGTGGCCTCATGGATCAGAAAATGCACCCTGGTCTGTTTTAAGCAGCAGCAGAGACATGTCTTGAAAGGCTGCTTGGCTTTAATGTCTCCGATGGGCCAGATCTACTGCAGTAGCTCCTTAACGCACTGAGAAGGCCAACTTTCAGGTTTACCTGGACTGATAGGATGATACATAATTCAGAGTGCCCCAAAAATTTTGGTCGGTACTTAGTGTTAACTTAGTGCGGGTTTAAGTGACCACAGTGGCATTTGCTACCAAATGTCCTTGTATATGCCTCTACATAAGAGTCTGCTCCATCTGCATATGACAATACAACTATTTTTGTCTCATGTAAGAGACCCAAAAAGTAGCTATTTAATAGGGGATGCCACAATCAAACCTATTTATCATCACCCATGTTGGCTGGGAAGAGTGCTAATTTTGGCTAAAAGAAGACAAACATCAGTACAAACCCATATTCCTTTGGATCATCATACATTCCTTAACTCTTGTCGGGAAATGGCTTCGGTTTAAGAAATTAAAGAGGTCAAAGCAGTATTTGTTCCTTCCCACATCAAACAAAGTGCAGTTAAACTCCGTCCTGTTGTCTCCTGGGTGAAGGGTGTTCTCATGCAGCCAAGTTGTTCTCTGACTGGGATGCTTGAGAGCCTCCTTATAGACAACAATTTTTCCGCTGACAGAAGTGCACGGTGGAGAGATCACGAAGACCTGAACCAAAGTTTTGCATGTTGCTTCTGATGCCACAACCAGTCTGTATCCAAATTTGTGGAGGAGATCGATGGGTCCTATGGAGGCAATGACGGAACCTGTTTCTAATGCTTTCAGTAACACAGTGATGTATGTTTCCTGACCAACAGGTGGGCAATCAAACTCTACCCACTGGGACCTAGAGAGTGGGATCCCTTTGCTAGTTCTAATGCCCAGAGTCTCATCAGAGCTTACTCTTCCGAATTCATAAAGGGTGCCAGTGAATACCACATCCAGCGAAACCACTGTCTCGTTCATGGTGCACAACTGCTCATTTGTAAAAAGTCCAACCTGAAGCGAGCTCCCAAGCGCCTCTGAACTCTTGTTCAAATCAATGTGAAATACAGGCCATTCTACATGGAGGGTGGACATGATGCTTCTGCTCCACTGGGCATCACTGCTGTTATCGCTGAGAGAGACCATTCTGAACAAGAAGTCCCCAGCACTCCTGAAATGGAAACACTCAAACTCCACCATCCCCTGGGATTGATTTGCTGGAAGCTGTTTTCTCGCAATTATCTCCTTGGTGTTGGCATCCAGCAATAGGATGGACGGACACTCTGCTGTCACATTACCACCACTGTAGTACTGATACTCCACAGAAACTGTGTCATTGCTGAAGGCTACATGACCTGCACGCTCCACCAGGAGATACTCCACTTCGCTGAGAACTGAAAGGAAAACAGTGTCACAACAGTGTTAAGAATCAAAGAGAAACTGATTGTTTGTGGAAGAAAACAAAGATTTAGAAAGTGAGTATTTAAGCAGTTCTCAAACTTTTAAAGCACAGTTTACAAAAAAAAGGTCTTATCTATAGCAATTAAAGGTTATCACTTCTCCTTTGTGCAGGGATGTGGTTTGGAGCACCTCAAAATCCACTGCAGTAACATGTTCCGAAAGAATAAAAACAAGGTTTAAAAATGAAACCAAAAACAAAACGGAAAGATTCACAGAAAACTTCATTTATTTGGACAGATTCTCAAACTTCTCAACTTCTTTCACTTACAGAATCTTAAAGTCCACTTCACAGTGGGCAGCTGTTGTTCCACTTACTTTAGCTATAATTTAGCAAAAAAAGGACAGTAGTTTCTTAATACAGAAACATGAAAAATGTCCCTCAAATTACATAAAATAGGAAGACTGCATGACGCTTTTTGAAGCCTCTTCTCTTGCTCCATCTTATGAATCTTTCATTTTGCTCATTTGCATCACAGAGACACTTGAGTGAAAGAGCTGAAAATAACAGTGATGGTGACTGCAGCACTTTTCTTGTCTCAGATGTGGTGCAACATGTCTAAATGACATCATTTCATTATAAATGGTGCAGTCTTTTTAAATGCACTTCTTGCATGACCATGTTTGTGCAAGTTGCCAAATTATCCTCAGACATGCTGTAACTGGTGGGGATAGATGATATCCAAAGCAATGGATTGGGAAGATCACATTTCCATTCTCAAGCTCAGCTTGCTTTTCTGCATTGCCTGAAACTTAAGGATTTCAGACAGAGAAAGGTTATCTGAAAAATGGGAACTGCATACATCTCTTCCAGATACAGGATGTGCTGTGGACATCTTTAATTAATTGTCTGGGAAAAGGCTTCTGACTGCTGAATGATGGAAGGTGCCCAGGAAGCGTAAAACTTCATTTAAAGCAATCCTTTCATAAGTAGCATCAACGAACAATACTTTGACTTGTTAAATCTGTTACACATGTCTTAAGATTACCTCAAAGAAAGCTTTGCTGGAAAAACACTGCAACTGCCAAGGCAAGCACTCAGCAGTCAGGAGTAGCAGGACTCATTTCACATAATATTAGACGCCTACTACTCTAAACTTCAATTCGAGTTAGTCACCTTGGATTCACTTTCTTGTCAGCAGGGAAAATTTTCAGGAAGAAATTAATCTGACCAGCTGTAGACATTCACATCAGGGTGAGGTGCAGCGTGCACTAGAAGAGCCTATTACTCTCCACTAGGTATAACAAGTCCTTAAAATAACCAGCTCCAACCACATCCATAAAGTCCGAATGAAGGTGGCACACACAGCCTTACACATAAATCATGCATATAATCTTACATATATGTACTGTAACTCAGGCTTTAATTTGCATTTCCACAAGACGCTGCTTCATTTGGCAGATGGATGGTGTTCATTACCAGAGGGCTCTTTTGTTCTCATTCTTCCATGGGTGGTCCCATGTATTATTGACTGCACACCATCCAAAATCCACCCTGATAACACAGAATTATTCATTTCCCCCATGGACTATTGTGCTCTTATCAGAGTATATTAATGCATTAGAAATATTAATGAGTTTATCCTTTCAATATCACCGAAAAATGAGAAGATGCCACTATTCTTGTCTAGTGTGTTAGGAACCAAGGCACAGGCACAAAGGTGAAAACTGTCAAGTATCAAGTAAGTGTGGATGCCCTAAGAAACCCAGGACCTGATTTTAAATACAATGGCCTTTCAGACCTCCAAAGCAGGATCCCATTGATCCCAGCTGTGATGAGCACACGGCATCCCAGCAAACCTGATTTCAACTCGGACACCCAGAGCATAGGAAACAGACCCTTGAATGCCTGTGAAAAATGGCTCTCTGTGAACTGACCAGTAACACATTCTCCTTGCTCTTCATGTTTTGGTTCCGTCATCTGTGCTTGCCCATACTTTCCAGTCCTGTTCCTTCCATCACCTACTGTCCTTATGTCTTGGGTACTGTCCTAACTCCACTATTATTACCACGGTTCTCCAAACTCCTGCCTTCATCTCTGTGCCTTATAGCTCTTCTACCTTCTCCTGTTTCTTGGGCCTGCAATTAACTCCAGCAAGTTCCCATCTTTCTTGCTCACTGCTAGCATGACAGCAGAGAGCACAGGACAAGCAACTCTAGTGCCCAATATTACAAATGTGGGGGAACTCTGCTGCCCTGGGCTGGAGCACACACAGTATTGTGTGGGGCTGGCAAGAGGAGCCAGCAGGAGTTGGGGCACACTTGACTCTTCAGAGAACTTCATCTGCAAGGGCTTAGATCTGGACCAAGTCTGGGCAAATCTTCATAATGACAGCAAAACCCACGTTGCAGGCCACCGCGAGCACTCCAACAAACATGAAGTTCCCGCTGCTGTGCTAAAGTTTCCCAGTGAAATGGTTGTGAGCTACTGGGTTTTGCATTTCTCTACAAAGCAATTGGCTAGATTCAACTTAGCTGAAACATTATAAAGGAAAAAGAAATCAGACACTGGCAAAAATCCAGCATGAAAAATTTCAACTTCAAGCTTTAAACTTAGAGCAAAAATATTAAAGTGGTAGTAACGAATAGCACTGATGTTTGTACCTACTGCTCTACCATTCTTGCTCTCTTTTATGACTGCCTTGACTCTCTTGCACTATTTTTTATTTAGAATGGCTCAAGATAAGAAGAAGTAGCACCCCTATGCATGTGTGTAGGAGGACTGGAGAGAGGCCAGGGGACTGCCATGTAGCTCAAACCAACCCTAATGCAGATCACCTGGGGAAGGAGGAAGGCGAGCATTACTGGAGGATGCTGTTACAGCACTGCACAGCTCTGTCTGGTGCACCCCAGCTCACAGCATCCTTTCCTCCATCTTTGATTAATAACACAAGAGCTTTGTGCTCATGGACAGCCCACATAGCAGTTTTTTACGATGCTCCAAAAGGCGCCAGTCAGAAGCAGCCAGCTTCCACCACGAGCTCCCTCAGCTCCCCCAGCCTACTCTGCGCACACAAACTGTGTCACGCGCCAAAACTTGGTCCCCGTTGTTTGGACAGCCAGTCAGGGGCAGCTTTCAATGCATTTGTATATTTCTGGTTGCCATTAAAATGGTCTCCCATTGAATAGAGCCTGGCTTTGATGCCAACAACCTGCCAGTGGAGTCTTTGCAAGAATTCATGGTTAGAAAGATCAAAAGGAAAATCCTTGTTTTCACTTGAAGAACAGGAAGAATTATTTGAGGGTGCTATTCTGATATTTATTTATTTTTAATTGTGTTTAAGCTAACTCGGGTCGTGCTGTTGGCTTGTCAGCCACCAGTAGCACAGAGCTAAGAAGAACAAACACATCAGAAAAACTGATAAGACATGAGAATACTGTTTTGTTGTGTGTTAGGGGTTGGGTTTTTTTAGCATTACAGTAGTTTCCCAGAGCATACTGGATCATTTTAAAAACAGTTCTGGACTGAAACAGAGAAGTATACGAGTGAAACAGTTATCTAAAAAGTAGGAACACATGTGATACTTAAAAATGTGTATACGCAGAACTGTTTGGAAGTAATTTTCAGAATTATGAACTAGCCTTTAACTGGAAATAAGGCAAATGATTATGCACCTAAACTTTGCAGTAGAGATTTAGCTCTTTAACTGCACCTTGTAATTACCTACTGTTCCATGCTCTATAAATTTCAGGAATAATAGCTTTTACCTCTGAGTCAACTACTCGTGAATACCTACAGCACTGGCTCACCAAGAACCAGTGGATATTGCAATCATTCACCTCGCTTGTCAGGTTAAGTGAACTTAATACTTACCTTCACTGTGTTCCCCACTCAGGGCAGTGTTTGTAACGTGGCTAGTTAACTTTGTCTCATTGAAAGACAAAATGCTACTAAAAGCTATGGACAAGTGTCTCCACTTCTACTGGAATTCAGTTCATCTAAAAGATGGCAATTTTAGGTTCTTTACATCTTCTAGTGATACCTTGCTCTAGAGTGGAGATGGAGCAAGCACAGAGACATGAGTAGCTGATCATACTTGGTATACAGTCATTATAATCAGATTTTTCTCACTTATACAAGGAGAGCAAACCATACATTTTGGGCTCACTTCTCTCCTTTGTAAGACATCTTCAGTCATTTGGTGTGTGAACTACGAGCTATCATGGCTCATTCTGTAAACTGGGACTAAACAATCCTTTTTCCCTTTTTTCATGCTGTAGACGTTTCAGCAGTACAGGGCTTAATCCTTTAACATGGTTTGACAATGTACTGCAGTTGTCGGAACAACACTTGCTTTTAAACTAGGAATATAACTTTCAAAAATATATGTGTTTTTAAAGAATTGAGTCCCATGTTCAAAATTTCTAATTCAGTGTGCAATAAGGAATTAATTCTCTTTGCAAACCTACTGCCTACTTAGTACATTCTTGGAAAAGATAAGATCCCATGCCCCTCAGCTTGTAGACATCTTACAGTTGTCTGACTTGAGCTTAGATGTCTAACATCCCTCCATGACAGCTGATGGTGAGAAAGAGGTGCTTTTTCATTCCACACATCTCAGATTGCACATGGTTTGGAGCTTCTTTCAGTACATGCTGATTTGTGCGCAGCCTACTCAAACAAGACTGATTGCCTCTGACTAGCTGCCTAATTTTACATGACTAAAATTGAGTATGAATACCACCCTTTGGCTTCTTATATGGCCAGAGGAAAGAACACCTCTGTTCTCAAATGTTCTCTAAGTGGCAGCTTAGGTCCATCAGATGGGGGCTCACTCAGTCATAGGAGGTTGTCTGTACTGTAGATGCTTACAGCCCAGCCAACCACCATTGGTTCCTTTTATAGTTAATGGAAATAAACGTGTAGTTGCACAGCACAGTTCTGCCTATCCTGGTACGGATACCTAAAACAGGTTTATCTTCCATGACATTCATTAAATATTAACAAATATGAGTCTTACAAGAGAGCAGAGTTCCAGTTACTGCTTCTAACACAGCCAGTCCCTCGATGATGCCCACAGAAATCTGTTCATTTATCTTGTTTATTTCTCTGAGTAAATTTACAGCAGTAAAGATTCCTGCCACTCTGATCTAAAGGGGCAGTTTATGCAAGTTGCATTTTCCACAAAAATATTGCATAAGATCTAGACTATATTCTGTGCATATCCGTGGTGGCTTCTGTGGCATCTGATTTCAACAGCTCACCTTGAGACAGCACCATCCAAAACCACTGTGTGTATACACATCTCAGAGTTTTCCCTTGACAGCTGTAATACTCACCATAGTCACAGAGCATAACTAACAATAGATTTGAAAAATCTTTCAACATCTGTTTCATTCTGACCAGTGAGATCCCAGGTCCTTTTACTCCTCATGTCCTTCCTCAGCTCTGAAGTGCAGGCACTTTTTTCCAAGAACACCTGAAAGTTAAAAAAATTACAGCTGTGTTGACTTTGCTTCATAAAATACAAGAAACAAGCAAGACATCTCATTAATAAGTGAAAAAAATACTAATCAATACTTTTCTCTCATTTACTTAATAGTTACTAATACTTTATCAATGGATCTGAACAAGCACAACTACAATTCACTGTACAATACATTTTCCCTCCTGAAATGTCAGCTCCTGAAGCAGAACAACAAAGACGGGTCTCAACAATTTACCTTTGCGCTGCAGTAACTGCTGCTGTTCATGTCTTATATTGAGACTCATGCTAGCAAAGTAACAAGTATTTCATACACAATCTAATGCTGACCTCAGCACATATCGATATTGGAGAGTTACTGCTGCCACACGACTCATATCACTTACTGCCAACTGCTTTCAAGCATGAAAGAGACTCAGTAGAAAACTACCAATTTGGTCCTCAAGCTGCCCTGTTTATTCAGGTCTAGTAATATATTTAGTTATCTTACTAGATTTATAAAATATCTATAACTGCCTTTTGTGTCATTCAGACTGATCAGATGGAGAAGGTGCTAACTTCCACTTTTTCCTCCATCGTTTTTAAGTTCACGTTCTCTGCAGCCTTCATTAGGCAAGCAAAAAAATAGAGTTCCTTTTGGCAAGTTTCACAATTTTATATCCATGTCATGTAAACGAGTCTTTACAAATGTCATAACAATCACATAAAACAGGTTGGAAGCACAATGGTAGCAGCAAAACCAACAGTTTGCTTCAGAAACAGAAGTACGGAAGAATCTAACAAGAGAAGATCTAGCTCAAGGGAACCATTCTGGAAATAGAAGAATTGCTCTTTTGTATTGTGTAGGAGCTCCGCCAAGTCAGTCTTACTGTGCTCACTGTCACACAAACGTGCAAGAAAGTTCTTGTTCTGTTAAGTTTACAACCTAATTTTATGAGACAAATCTGGCACCGAAGCAGGCAGAAGTTGGGAGCAAAAAAACTGCAGATCATAAAGGTAAAACATAGGAACCAGATATGGCAAAGATCAGATACGCCTTTAGGAATCACAAATGAGATATTTCTCGTTGAACTAAGAGACAGCAGATACATTATTTGAAAGCTTTTTAAACTGTTTTCTGTGCTGAGTGGCTGGAGAGAAGAATTTCTAAGAAAAGACTAACAGCACGGCTTTGCTCAGTAGAAGTCCATTACAATAATAGCTATACACACCCGAAGGGAATAATCATCATCCGGCCCACGAACTTGACAAGGCTCCAGAAAGAATTAGATAGGGACAGCGATACCGCCACCACCCACAATTTCACTTGATACACCGTGAATTACAGGAAGGCAAGCTCTGTATTCTTCAAATGGCTTTTACAAGTACTTCTTTCAGAGAGTCACACACTGGCAGGTGAAATTCAAATAATCCTAATCTCAGTCTAATGAGCGACACAGTGCAGACAGGAAACAAAGCTACGGAAGAGAATTAATCCTTGGGAAGAAAGGAAAAAGCCTGCGTGGAAGAGCACTCTCGAGATTGCTGTCTTACATCTCAATTTGCACATCAGCCTGACCGAGGGGAAAGTGGCATGGTTTAGAGACAGGGAGGCACAGGAGAGCCAGCTTCTCTTCCTATTCCTGCCATTGCCAGGAGCGTCAGCAAACTGCAGCATTGATCTGCTCCTCTCAGTCCCACCCCATCCCACTCCGTATTTACAGCACAGACTTTTCAGGACAGAGACTCTCTCTAACCAAACTTGTGGACAGAGCCCAGCGCCAGGGCCCTTGGGTATTCTGGCAACACCGATCATTCGTCAGACCAAAACCTCCTTCCCTCTCACCCTTCCCTCTGCATTATCTTGGCTTGCTTGGGAAAAGACTCTGGCGTGCAGCGCAGGCAACACCCAGGCTAGAGCTGGAGTGTTTGAACCGGTACCAAAACTAACTTCCAGTCAGTGAGATCAGGTACCTCGGGGAGCCTGGCCTGGGGCTACTTCACCCTCTGCCAGCACTGCATGGCCACAGGAGCTCTCCTGCCTCATACTGCTGCTTCAGGCCACCTTTGAACAAAGCTCCAACCAAAGCACCTCCATGAAGCCTCCTTGGATTTTTGATCAATTCTAATAGCAGCTTTGAATGCAAGAATCAACAGCACATTTCTATTGCCCCCCTCCTTCCTCTCTCTTTCCCCACAGGTTTGTTCCTCTCCCTTCTTTCAGTTTCCTTTTGCCTTTCCTCAGTTTTGGACAGGCCTTATGCTGACCTCCAAGTCTGGCTCAGACTTCTCCCCTCTCCTCTCAGTCTTCCCTAAACCATCTTCTTTCTAGATTTCCATCTCATTTTTAGGTCTTCTTCAAAACTCTCCACATCTTTGCCTCCTGCCCCCCTCGTTCTATTATTTTTCCATTTTTCATACTCGCATTAAATTTTGCTTTTCAAGGCAGACAATACATCTTAAAATGGTTTCTATTCTATTCAAATCTTCAACCTCAAGTTCATTAACTCAATGAGATGAAAAATGATCGAACAGAGAAGGCTACCAGGCTTTGAATAATTGGCTTTTTTAATATATTGCTCTTGTGGACAAGCACGAACTGAGGGTCTATTGTGTGAGACACAGCAGAAGCACAGCAACATAAAAAGATGCTTTCTTCTTCCAAGAGACGGTGTAATGGGCTGACTGGAAGTGGAGGACTTCCTCTCCAAAGGGAACTGGAAATGACAGATGAGGAGTGGATAAGCCATAAAGGGCCTTGAAAACGAAGACCAAGAGACTTCTGTGTAACGTAAATGACACAGGAAAACTTCCAAGTCCCTACTCTGCAACAGATTTCCTGTGCGATCTTGGTCACATCACATAGTTTTCCAGTGCCATAGCTCTCTGCTGGAAACAGCACCTCACTGTCTGGTACGGGTATTACGAGAATAAATCCACCATGAGCTGTGAGGTTACAGGCACTACTACAGTGTCAGGAACTGTGCAAGAACAAACGATGCCATTTACAATTTTATTTACAGTATTTTTTGCAAATAAGTAACAGAATAGATGATACATACACTATTAGAGTTACATACGTTCATCTGTTTGAATAATGTCCCTATTTCTCTATGTCATTAAAATCAAAGTATTTTGTGATCATTTTGGTTTTACAAAAAACCCAAACAAACAACCCAAAACAACAACAAACAACAAGCCAACTGGATTTATGGTTCTCAGTACTTTTCGAAGCAGTATCTAAGGCCACAGAGCAGATGTGACATTTCATAAACAGCCACCTCTTCCATGTGCTGTCACCTGCTGATTTAGGGATCTCATCATAAGAAAGATGAGAGGCAAATGAGCCCTGCAGTTAAGAAAAGGCCATCAGGAATTAATCAGCTACTCCATGACCAAGCACTGAGTTTAATGAGAACACAAACTCATGGCACTCTAAACCTCTGTGCTGCAGAGCACAGGGGAGGGCCACTGATGGATCCTGTATTTTGCCCCTGCCATTGGTACCCTCAGTCCTCCTTCCTGTAAGAGCTGAGCTCTCCCCTGCCCGAGCTCCATCCTTCAGGAATTGGGAAAAGGCCTGTCCTCGCTCATCTCTCCTCCGACCACAACTCTGCTCCCTCCTTGTCCCCTAGGCCCCACAGCTCCAGGTGATGGTGGACCCAGCCACAGCACAGGACCCCCATGACTCAGGGCACTTGTGAGAGAGAGGAGGGAGAAGGGCTCAGGGAAGGAGTAAGTGGGGGGGTCAGGTTGAGGACTGGTCCTCTTGGAGCTGGCCTGCCTTCCCTCAGCAGTGGCACCCAATCCAGCCCCCAAATGGACCCAGGAAACCCGCCAGCGTCTGGGGTGATGCTGCCCAAAAAATAAAGTTATCTACTGGAATTTAAAACAAGCAAAATGTTGGCAGAATGTGAAGGGGGAGGAAAAGTCCCACATGAAAAACAGTTTCCTTAATAGCTGTCCATTAGTAAACATTTTTCTGTTATATTTGCAACCCAAAATTTGCAGTCCTGGTTATGCATGAGAGGCTGACAGTAAAATAGGCTAGAGATGGAAAAGCCTGAAAGTCTCTAAATCCTCCCTTAGTTTCACTTGAAGAACACCAAGCAGCACTAACAGCAAAAAGAAATGTGTATTTATCTGCAACATTTCTGCAACTTTAAGATATTTTATCTGTATGGCAGGAAAGAGATTAATTATTTTCAACCAGCATTCGCTTATTGCAATGTGGGATTAGGCAGCTATTGAAGTGTTACCACCTGCTGGGAATTTCAGAACTTCCCATATAATCCTCCCAGTTCGACATTAAAGAGGGAGCACCTCAGCTATGCATCACATTTTATCAAAATCTAATCACTGCTGACCAGTCAGAGTGGTCAGCGCCAAAAATATGCCGCTTCTTGGAAGAGGAGTTTAGCAAGGAAAGTATCTATGTGATGTCTGCCACAGCAGGGGGGCTGGAGCTGACATCCTCACAGGCATCTTTCATTCTTATTTACACATCAGACAATTTTACATTGTTATCAGATAATGGCTTTATTAAAATTATGCACCTAAATTCACTAGGCTGAAACTGACAGCACCAGATTCTCTGTGCTTTAGAAAACAACAAAAAAACCCCAACCAAATAATTAGCTGGTAAAGCCTATTTTCATCAACATCTGGGCCGTGATCTCACAAAATCCTGGGATTTCTCAGCTTCTTTTGATATCAACTCAGCAATTCAGGAGCTAGCTGGCCAGCAACATCCATCCTTAGAAACCTAAGGGCTACAGCAGACTGAATATATGGATGAGATTTACTTTGGAAAATGTGCAGTGAAAATACGTTTATTAAGCATAAGGAGATTTGGGAAGGTGTCCAAGCAATAATAAATAATGAGTGCAAAGAATTAAATACATTAGATCACCCCTTATGGCATAAGGGATGGAATGCAGTTATCTATTCTTTCCTTTCCCCTCCAGATTGTTTAAAAAATAGAGATATTGTTCACTGTTTCTGGAATTCCCCTTTT